TACATTTTGGGAAGTGCTGCCTATCTTATGATTATGATCTAGATAATGTAGTTAAAGTTTTATTGCTTAACCTTCTGTCAATGACCAACTTTTATATTGTTTTGAAATATGACACTTTCAACAGTTGCATATTCTGTCTACATGTATGCCCAAGAAATAAAAAGTGAATGCATCTCATGCATCAATTAGAAAACACCATACCTTTCAAATTAAACTGTCACTCATATAATACTATGTTAGATACCACATGTTTTTATATGTAAAAATTGTTGCATGATGGAATAGTTTATACACAATATCAATCAAGGAATGTGAATTTTCTACGACTGTTAAAGTTTAACATTTTTTTTGTTTTAGTAATCTGTTTGATAAGTAATAATATCTTTCATCTTATCAGCATGGTAAGCTCTTCTTAAACATTTTATAATTGAAAGAAGATATGCAATTTTCACTCTAAATGTGGTTTCTTGGGCAAAGATATAGGACTGTTGAAATGACGGTTTGCTTATGGAACTATAACATCAAATATACTATAGCGGAGGTATGCTGTTTTATAAAGAAACGAAATTCATTTTTGTCTTGCCATGTAACATTAGTCATAGTGATCCTAATATTATAGTGGCAAGAACATTCTCTGTTACAACATGTCAGGGCTATATTGCATTCAACTTGTCTGTATGTTAGTCTATCCGTCCATGGTTCCCCCAAACGTTTCTCATATAATTCTAAACTGAATAACTTATATTTGGTGAGCAACTTATTAATCTATTAAAGTGTTTATGCTAATAGGCAAACTGAAAACTCCCAAAAGATAAGAAACCAATAATTTTGGCCATTGTGACAAATTTGTAGACCCTGTCTTGTGATCATTATTGCTATTAAAGGTTTCCCTTTATCTATTATAGTTTTGAAGATAATGAGCAAAAATGTCAAAAATTGATAAAGGCTTTAACTCCTATAACTTAGCACTTAACATATTCCAGCTCTAGTACAACACAGGGTCAACATTCATATCTCTTTATCTATGCTCGTCCTGAATATGCATTTAACTTGCCACTGGACGTTAAACAACCATCCATACATCCATTTATTCTATCCATGTCATGCAACTATGTTGGTTGACTGGCATGATCAAGGTTACATTTGAAAAAAAAACCAATGTTATTGTGGCCAAATTGGTTATAATCCTTGGCCTAGTAGTTTCACATGAAAAGTTAACGGAGGGCTACGTACGACGTACAACGATAGCCAAATGATAAGAAAAGCACACTTAACCCTTTGGGTCTGTTGAGCTAAAAAAAAAAACCCAGACAAACAATGATATGTCCAATGCATGAAATAATTGTGAAGCCAGAAGTGCATAACTAAAGTTTTTTTTATAATTTTAGTCATTTTCTTTTGTATGTCAGAGGCAGATCCAGAATTTCACATAAGGGAGGTGGCGCTACATGCTTCATTTATTGGTTCTATTGATTTTGATAATTGTGTAATGAGATGATAACCCACAAGATCATACAATCAAAATTTCAGACAATATTGAGGAGAGATGTTTTTTCCGACCGTAAAATATTTCGCTTTTGTATTATGTTATGGCGATGTCTGCGTCTGCGTCTGAAGACATTTTGGTTCGCAGACAATAACTTGAGTATAAGTGTATGGATCTCTATGAAATTTCGCAGAAGGTTCTATACCACTGGAGGATCCGGATGATTGGGATTGTTTTTGGGGGGTATTGTCCTAGCGGTTTTGTAATTAGGGGCCAAAAAAGGTCAGTTTTACTGGTTCATAGAAAATAAATTGGTTCGCAGACAATAACTTTAGTTTAAGTGTATGGATCTGTATGAAATTTTAGCACAAGGTTTCATACCACAATAGGAGGGTTGTGATTGATTTTGGGGGTTATTGTCGTAGCTGATTTGTAAATAGAGGCCAGAAAGGGGCCTTAAACAATTATTTGTCTGGTTTTAAGACAATAACTTGAGTATACGTGTATATATCTCTATCAAATTTTAGCACGAGGTTCCACACCACAATAGGAAAGTTGGGATTAATTTTGGGGGTTATTGTCATAGCTGTTTAGGAATTAGGGGCCAGAAAGGGCCTGACAAAAACAATTATTTGTCTGGTTCACTGACAATAACTTGAGTGTAAGTGTATGTATCTCTATTAAATTTTAGCAGAAGATTCCATACCACAATAGGAAGGTTGGGATTTATTTATTTTTTTTTTTTGGGGGGGGGGGGGGGGGGGTACTTGTCGTAGCTGTTAAGTAATTAGGGGCCAAAATGGGCCCAAAACAAACATTTTTCATGTTTCAGGGCAATAATTTGTGTATAGGAGTATAGATTTTTATGAAATTTTACCACAAGGTTCCATACTTAAAAAGGAAAGTTGGGATTGATGTTTGGGGGGTCAGGGCCCAAACTGTTTACTAATGAGGGGTCGAAAAGTGGCAAAAACAACTATTTTTCTGGTTTGCAGGCAATAACTTGAGTCTCTATTAGATTTTAGCACAATGATATGTTTTGTCTACAAAGACAAAGTGTCTCATCTTTTTCAAATTTCATCCTAGCTCCCCCCCCCCCCCACCCCCAATAAAAATCAAATGGTAGCTCCCTTAGAGATGTTCTACAATACAATGTTCACAAAGGTTTGGTTACTTACTTTTGTGGCAAACTTATCAGAAAGTTAGTTTAAGCTGTAAATAAAAATAGACATTCCCATGCAACGAAATTCGCGGGGTTTAGGTCTACCTAAGAAAGAGAAAAATATTGAATCGTTTAACAATGTGGTCAATGTGTAAAATCAAGTGAAATGCTGGTACTTGCTGGGGGGGGGGGGGGGTTGAGATCTCACAGAACATGTTTAAACCCGCCGCATTTTTTCGCCTGTTCTAAGTCAGGAACGTCTAGCCTTTGTCAGTCTTGAGTGATTTTTAAAAAATTCTGGTTAATTTATATGTTTCGGAGTTTAGTGTGGTGTCCATTTCGCTGAACTAGTATATATTATTGTTTAGGGGCCAGCTAAAGCCAGTCTCCGGGTGCGGGATTTTCTCTCTGCGTTGAAGACCTATTGGTGGCTTTAAGCTGTTTTCGGCTCTTTGGTCGGGTTGTTGTCTCTTTGACACATTCTTCGTATCCATTCTCAATTCTATTTAAACTGTATACTGATAAAGATGCATATAAACTGTATACCAGGTCAGATGGAAATATACTGTTATCTGTAAAGCTGTTACAGTATATTAAATAAATATACATCCGTTGAGATGCATATAACTGTATATCTGTGAAAAAATATATATATAAACTGCATGTATACCTGTAAAGATGTATATACACAGATAATATATATCTTTACAAATGTAAAGTTTATATATGTTATATACTACATCTTAACAGACGAACAGTCAGTTTATATGCATCTTAACATATGCACCGTCAGTTTATATGCATCTTAACATATGCACCGTCAGTTTATATACATCTTAACATATGCACCGTCAGTTTATATGCATCTTAACATGTGCACCGTCAGTTTATATGCATCTTAACATATGCACCGTCAGTTTATATGCATCTTAACATATGCACCGTCAGTTTATATGCATCTTAACATATGCACCGTCAGTTTATATGCATCTTAACATATGCACCGTTAGTTTATATGTATCTTCACCCCCAGTTTTTAGTGGGGTTCGTGTTTCTCAGTCATTAGTGTTCTGTATTGTGTTTTGTATACTGTTGTTTGTCTGGTTGTCTTTTCCTTTTTAAGCTATGGCGTTGTCTGTTTATTTTCGACTTATGAGTTTGAATGTCCCTTTGGTATCTTTCGCCTCTCTTTCACAAATGCACAGTCAGTTGATATGCATCTCAACATATGTACAGTTTATATTTATCATAATAAATGTTTAATCTATATACATCTTTACAAATGTACAGTTTATATATGCATCTCAACAGATGAACATCCAAACTGCTTGTACTGAATGAGCTGTGTAGTGTGTGCATGATGTCTGTCACTCATAGTAATGATTTAAATGGGCCAAATTTTACTTGATGAGAGATTCAAGCACTTTGGAGCCTCGGGTTTATATAAAACATATCTTTATACTTGGTTTATATTTTCCTTTTACTTTGTATACTGATAATTATTTTTTCGTGTTATGGTCCCGTTTACTTTTTTCAACCGATCTTGGGAAACGAGATTATTGATGCATAGACTACACAATATAGTATATTTAAAAGGAATTTTGAGACACGATCTAGTAAATCCATATTTACACGATCATCATTATGTCAAGAAACAAAAATGTATGTTTGTTTATAAACATAACGTCAATATTACAGTCATATTTTTTATGATTTAGTGAGACAGGATACTGATGAGTTTTTTGTTTATATTCCATTCAAGTTCCAAGTACATACGGTTTTGCTATCAGAACAAAACGCTTTAACGTGTTGTTAATGAAAACATTTTTTGTGTAGAAGATTTCAGCCTTTATAAATATCTATACCATAATTTCATGTTGGTTGGAAATAATCACTAGAAGTTTTTTCTTGTTATCTCCTCTAGCCTGTGGTTTTAATTTCTTAAAAAGCCATGAATTCCACCTGATCTCAGACTTCAGAACAAATCAATTTAACTCATAATATCCTCTAGTTTTTATGCTGTTCGCTGTATTTAAGAAAAAATAAATAATTCATCGAAAATATCATTACAGATCATCATCCTTATTCATATACTAGATAATAATCCATCGACACATTATCCAAGGATCCTGGTTACCGGTTAAGTAAACTGACCCCCCCCCCCTTTTTGAGATGTGGCGAGGGTCACAGGCTATGAACAAATATGTATACATGTTAGTTTCCACTGTATAACACATGTTTGTGTCAATTTTTCTACAAAACGTAGCCCTATCTTACCAATTGATAAAAGTTTCATAATGATATTTGAATTGTGGTAAATCTTAACTAATTTCTGTCGTTAATTCATTGCAGCTCCAGAGTTCGTCAAAAAATTACCGAAAGAGGAAACAGTCGAAGAAGGCTCAACAGTAAAGTTTGAATGTAAAGCTGTTGGCTTTCCTAAACCTACATTAAACTGGACTAAAGATTTAGAAATATTACCAGATAATCCAAGAATTACATTCCAATACGGAGAATTAGGTGAGGCCTCTATAGAGATACAGAAGATTAAAAAATCGGAAGAAGGTAGTTACCGATGTAAAGCGGAAAATGCCGAAGGTTCAGCCTCATCTTCAATCTATATCTCGATCAAAGGTATCCCTCATTGTATGTAGAGATGTTGTTTGCTGGTGTGCTTTATTATTTGCCGAGTTGTGTTTTATGATTTAATGCATCCTGATTGGCTTTTTTTTATTTTATTAATCGAACAGATTTTTCTTTTCATCCATTGTACAGCTTGTCTCTGTATTCTTTTTCTGCCTTTTTTGCAAATACATCAACGCATACTGAAAAAAATTGGCAACGGCTTCAGCGCATAACACATATTGCACTAGTTGAGTTAATATACGTTAAATTCAGATTTATTGTAATAGATATGAATATTCATGTTGTTATTTAATTTGAACAAACCCGTATTTATTTTTTTCATTTAAGTTGATGTACTAGTAATGGCTTTAAATGTTATTTCAGATGTTCTTTAGCAGCCTCTGTTAGATAGCATATTTTGTATTCATGAAGAAAGAGATAGGTCAAATGGGTCTATACTTTTATTCCGCAAATAATTGTTACTTGTCAATAACATTGTTGTATTGCACATTTTCAGATTAGCTTTCTTGTTTACTGCATTTTTACTATAACAACTGACATTATTTAAACTTGATCTATACAGATTACGACATTACACCTTTCCTGGACCAATTCTTTAGCCGTAAAAGTTTGCTTTCATCACTTTATGTCCAAGACTATGTAAATTATTTTTATATTATAAGAATAATCGGGAACTATTAATGCCACAGAGAAAATAAATAGTGCCAGTGGACCTTTATAAGCCCTTGATGTAAAGTGTTTTGCAAGTTAAATAAGTTAAGAACATTAGTTATAAATCAGGTAGTTAGTTTTCTCAATTGAATTGTTTCACATTAACTACCTCGTACCTCTGTTGATCGGACATTTCTACTTACTGAATCCAAACTTATTGCACACGGCAACAAGAAAGAAGTCCGATACACTGCTCATTATACTGTGTTGGCATACACTGGTGAATTATTTTATAAATACTTTTATTATCTTTTTGTTTGCAGAAGCATATAAACAATAGACTATTTTCATGTAATGGACTTTTGACTCTAATTATATAAATTTTCGACATTACATTATGGTAGGACATTCTTGATTCTTTTCAAAAATAACTGTGCTTCAGGATTTTAATTTAAAATATCTTTATTGTGAGTTATATTATTTTCTCGCATTTTGGCCTAAACTGACCATTATTTATGTTCTGACAACTGTACAAGTTTAATAGCAAAGAAAATAGCAATTTTAGAATCAATTTCGAAAAATGCTTCTCACTTCCTAACCCTGCCCAGTATTTGAAAAAAAAAAAACCATAGTTTCATGAATTTTCTCCCTTTTATACCATAGCCCCGGTCCTACTTTCCGGGTAATGGCACCTTTAACAAAATGTAAATTATAAATGCTTTTAGTTTAAATATAGTGTTGTTTATTTGGAATGCGGTACTATACAAAATATCACTTTCAGTATGAATAAATTGTAATAATTAATAGTTCAAGATGTGAGTAATGCGTCAATGAGAAAGTTATACAAAGACATAAGTAACCAACTGACTTGAAGGCAATTTGTTTTAAGCATTTATAAGAAACAAGTGTAATGTTCTATAGCAATAGGTCTATTGTTTGTCAAAAAATATTTGAAAGGGTATATGCATTTTTGAATATATAAAAAATAGGAAAAGGGTGGGATACTGGATGTCTCGGCGGCTCATCCCCATCGCAAAAAGATTGAAATGTCCCCTGATGAATTTGGCAAGAATTAAGGCAAACATTATGTTAACAAGTCCTATTTAGAAATTTGTCTCCCCCTTTTTTAGTCAAGTTTATCTGTTTCGTTTCTCTAATATATGTATCTGCATTCTAAATAAAACCAAATTTCTATTTTCTTCTTTGTGCATTTTGATTGCGTTTTCCTTGATTGGATTTTAAGTAAACAATAAAGTATTCAAGGCAGTAAACTGGTAAACATTAGTGAAATTGATTGATGTTCTGATTTAGACAGATAAGTAAAATCACATGCTGGTGAGATAGAATTACATATGCTACTAAGTGTGAATTGCTCTTAACTGGCACAATAACAAGGATATAAGATCGGTATGGTATTGAAAGATTATTGCTAATGTAACATCATCGATTTTAATAAGACATTACATCAACCATTTTTCGGAGAGAAAAGCCTTGGAATTCTTTTATGAATTTTATTCAGCAGTAATGGCAGGCAATCATTTTCAAACATATGCAATACCAGGCACATCATATTCAGGATGCCTCTGTGTGGGTTTATTTTTGGTCATACCACTCTGACTTAAATAATCAAACTTCAATCTGAATCTCGACTTTTATAGTCTTTACTATATGATTTTGTTTTCAGTGGGGGTTCGTCCGAATCCCCTAAGAACCCCCTGGTTACGAATGTGAACACTGCACATATACCATCTCCTAGCCTCTATACAACCTAGTCTACTGGTTTGTAACCCTTAATTGATACAACAAGGAAATATTATGCCCCATTATATTAAAAAAAGTTAGATTTTATATAGCCTCATTGGTCAGGTTGCCAAAGACGCTTGACACAGTGCCGAAGTTAATGTTCAAATGCAGTTCTAACTTTGATGAACATGTTAGTAAGAAGCATACTATAACCTCATCCAATAAATTCTCCAGTCTGATTAAAATTCAGACCTATATTAACTCGCCTGCTCGTACATCTTATGAGGATAACGAAATAAGAGGTCTATATTTTAATTTTGTTGATAAAATCTCGAGATTTGTTAGAAGTGGAATATGTATATATAAAATGGTTAGAACTTTGTGAAGCCACACGAATATAAAAGTTGTGTCTTACTATTAACATAAATATTTAGAATTACAGTCAAACCTGTCTTTTAAGTTTTAGCGTCTTATATCAGACAACATAAAGCTTTATTCCAAATTATAGTCAAACCCTAACATCAAGCGATATTTCATTGTAGTCAAATCTTAAGTCCTTGAGTGCACAAACATTACTGACATTCTTCCAAATCTGTCTACTAAAATCATTGTACTAACAGTAAACATTATTCCACATTACAGCCAAACCTAAGATTCCTTCTTCTAAGACAAGATACATATACATTGTATACAAATAAGAAGATGTGGTATGATTGCCAATGAGACAACTCTCCACAAGAGACCAAATTAACAACTATAGGTCACCGTTCGGCCTTCAACAATGAGCAAAGCTTTAAAAGGCTCCGAAATGAAAAATGTTAAACAATTCAAACGAGAAAACAAACGGCCTGATTTATGTACAAAACAACGAATGAAAAACAAATATGATATACAACAACAAACGATAACCACTGAATTACAGGCTCCTGACTAGGGACAGGCACATACAGAATGTACATAATACTGAAAATCGGTATGGTTCAGGGTAATACCACCATATATTTCACCTATTATTCTTTGCTAAATTGGCATTTGAATAAAAAAAAAACATATAAAATTGAGAATATGTAGGATTTACTTTAATTTTTTTCTGAAAAATGATTGTTGAAAGGAAGTGATTTGATCGAGGTGAAAGTAGGACAGAAATTAGCCCTCGACATTCAATTTTGACTCAATTCCTACGTTCGGATCGTAACAGAGCTTTCACGATGAAAGCGCCGATGGAGTAAGTTTGCTAAGATATACATGTATATTTTAATAGAATGATAATATTCGGTAAGCAGGTGAATTCATTTCATGTTTGACTCTTAGCAAATTTTTTTATTCAATTAACATTTTTTCAAAGAAAACACTCTCATAATACATACTGCATGTTGACTATTGACAACTTTTGTATTGTCTTTTGTGTTAACCCGCCTACTACTGACCATTATCTAAAGTTTTCTGACTTTCATACAAACCCCACCTTCTCTAGTGCGAATACGACTTACCATTAAGTATAGTTGTTCTGACTATCAGGAATGGAAACTTTATTCTAGAAATAATCTATTTTAAAACTAACTCTGCCAAAATAAAAGATTTTATGCATCAAAGAACATTCTCACAGAAAGTAAGAATAAATAACATTAACGGTTCCAATTTTACTGCACCAGATGCGCATTTCGACAATTAATGTCTCTTCATTTAATAGATAGAAATCAACGTTTAAACAAAATAATAAGAAATAACTTTTTTGTACTAAAAGTAAAATTTTCACATTACAGCAAAACCTAAGTCTCCTAAGAGGTCACAAGAGCGGGTCACTTTCACCTCAACCTTTACTCCTATCCCAGAGAGGATAGACGAAGAGGAAAGAGAGGCAGAGGAAATCAGGAAACAACCAAAGTCACCACTTACCTACTTGTACGATGGGGTCACCATCAAGGCACAATCATGGCCGGATTTTCTTGGCAACTGGGCTTTCCTAGCATCAGGTATGAATTAAATGATATAAAAATGTAAATTAAGAAATATCTGTGTTAATTTATGTTTTTTCCCTAAATAGTTTATAGTATATATAACTTTCAAAATGTTTATGTGGCAACTTTGTGGGCCGTTTTGCATCAGTCAGATTAAAGTGCAATTGTTAATTCAAATTCTAGAAAACTCTGTATGTACGGTGAAATGTTTATTACAAAAACAAATTCCACTTAAAGACAGATAATTAGGTAAACTATTATTGTTGTGAAGGTATATTCGATTCAACAATCTAATTATGTCTTTCCTTTATCTTAAATCAAAATGCATGAAGTATCTTCTTTTTTTTACTTTTACTGAATTTCAACACAAACTTGTAATGCACATTTCTGAACTTTCACTTTTAGGCACATGTTATGCACATTTATGAACTTTCACTTTTAGACACATGAAATGCACATTTCTGAACTTTCGCTTTTAGACACATGTAATGCACATTTCTGAACTTTCACTTTTAGACACACGATAGACACTCTATGAAGATTGAATTCACCTATAAACTTTCGTAAGGTCTGAGCCTAGTTTTGACAATGCTACTTGTGAATGTTGCACTCTAATCTATCAGTTTGAAATCGCAGCATTTTCAGATCGCATCGGTATATTTTTCTTTGCTCAGTGAAACCTGTTGTTGTGCCAGTTGTTTACCGTCTTAAAAAATAAAAAGATTTAGATGTTCAACTTGTCGAATTGGTTCTGATGGTTAATTAATAGATTGTACACTGTATGTAAATAATTGACTTGTAAAAAAGAGATATAGGTAAATTATGAGGGTCTGGATGGGGGTTCTTCAATTCTGTATTCTTTAATTTTTTAAGCAATTTTTCTCTATTCATTATAAACTTTGCTCATTATTCTCTATTCTTTGTATTTTAGCACCCCATTATTCTCTATTCTATATTTTTTGGCCTATTATTCCTTATTATTTTTTTTTGCCCTTTATGTCCATTATTCACTATTCTGTAAACCCCATTCATGCCCTCAATTATTCGTAAGCTATACTGAGGATAGTACGAGATTGCTCTGACGTCTGACGGCCTTTTTCAAACTAGCTGGAGCCGTTGAACTGGTTTCTACATAGTTAAATATTCTACATGTAAAGGGGTACAATACAATTAAATGAGACATGTTTCACTGCTTAGTTTTGTTGATGTTCGACAGTTGAAGTTTGTTATTGAAAATGGCTTAACCTTTTGTTGCCACGTTTGCATGGTGTTCAAGTTTGACAGCTTTAAGGCGAAGTGTACGAAATAAACTTCTAAACAGAATTTTGTGAAAAAGGGGAGGGAGTAGGGGTGGCCACCGTATTAGTTAGAGATACGAGCTACTGAAATTTATAGCATGATGCGCCAAAAAAGTAAGGATATAAAGAGAAGCTTATACATTTTGGTAGGTATTTTGTTTGTATAAACAGCTTTTTTCTATTTTATTAGTCCACGGAATTTAAAAATTGAATGAATAAGGTGCAAAGATAGTCAATTTGGAATCGTGCTTATTTTCCATCTATATCCTGTGAAAGTTTGAATTTCAGCGGGGAAAATGGCAAATTTTAGCGACGTTAAATATTGGTGTCTACAGTGACGTCGACATCGCTTCTTACAACGTTGTTGTGCCACGCCGTAAGATATGCGTGAGCGTGTATCTATATCATTTTTGCTAATCATTGCATTTAAGATTATTCATTTGATAGGAAAATACAACTCATATACAAACCAAGTTTAAAGAATTATTTTTGAAATGAAATAAACACTTATATAAATGAATATTAATCTAACGAATACTGCAAGTGAAAGCAAGTTACTGTCACATCTCAATAGCCAATTTCATCAAGTTGAAATAGTATGGATTTACCGTAGAACCTTACACATTTTCTTCACTTCATGTTGGGACATTGTTGACGGCATCTACACATCTTCTTTTTCTTTCAATGTGTTTATTCATTTATCAAAGTAAGCCTCATCTTCTGCATCTCTTCGTCCTTATTACTCCAGCTCCTCGTCCTTATTACTCCAGCTCCTCGTCCTTATTACTCCAGCTCCTCGTCCTTATTACTCCAGCTCCTCGTCCTTATTACTCCAGCTCCTCGACCCTAGTTGCCCATTTAGATATTGTGTATAACCTCGTTTACATTTTATCCGAATAATTCCGTTCGTTATATTGTGGCGATCTCCGATTGCTCCAACCCCAGGCATCCAGGAGGCGCAGAATTATTCGAGTTAATCTACATCTATATCCACTATTATTTTGTACTTGTTTCACACATGCACGCTAGATTGTTTTCTAAAACTTATTTGCATGAAACAAATATCAAGGAAACTCTTTTTTCATTATCTTTAAATAAGACCTTCCAAGGAAATTCGACTTCATAATTTACCATTTTTACAAATTCCATAATCTGTTTTACATACTAGTATGAGATATAACAGCCTGTCTAAACTAAGTTTGTGTTGGTATCAAATGCATGGATTCATAGGCTGAACATTTCAACATCTTTTCCCTCTTGCCGATGTCGTTTCCGCCTGTTGTAACACGGTTAAAGTATGCCTGTTGTTACACGGTTAAAGTATGCCTGTTGTTACACGGTTAAATTATGGACATTTTTAATAAACCACATGAAGTCATTTTTAGTTTGCCTGCTCAATATCATCGAGTTAAGGAGATCACTCGTGTAACTATAATGCGACCGTTTTTAATCCCGTAGATAGAGGCGTTCAATTACGTACATTTCGCCTTAATAATATTTTTCTGTGCTTTTGCAATAATTGTTCAATACCTTTTAAAATTGAAAACAACATAACTTTGATTAGTTTATACAGATTTGAATCATTTCTTTCTGATGTATATCAAATACTTAAAGGTATCAACAACAGCTACATTGTTTTTGGTACCCTTGTGCATAAAAGAGTCAAACAAAGAAGAAGAAAAAATAGGCCTTTATTTTCTTGTACCGATATGCAATCCAAATAGTAACTTGCGAAAGACGTTTTTTTAAGTAAATATGTTTCACATGTCTCACTTCGACATAAAGTCACAATTGACAATAAAACTAGTTCAGTGGGATTTTTAAACAACTTGCCGCTATTTTTAATCATTGAATCTATGGTACTTTTAAGTTTCAATGGTTGCATGTAAAAAGACTGTTGTATTTGATCCAGATTTTCATTTTTCATGTTTCTAACATGATCATTGTACAATTTTATTGTAGGTACCAGCAATATTTACGACAACTTGGACTACATCGACGACGAAGACGTATTTTTACCAGGATTGGTAGAAAATTCGGACAACGACATTTACAACTGCGGCACGGATAAGGATTCGGACAAAGAAAACATTTTCGAAAATGACCTTCAAAATACCCCAATTCCTAATCTGGTATTCGAAAATAAAAATTTGACAAACTTGAAATCAGAAAAAAATTCAAACAGTTCAATTATATTTTGTGGAGGATTGGTCAAAGATGAAAATGCAAACCATCGGTTATTGGTAAGCTGCAAGTCCAGCGATCAACACTCGAACGATAATCAAAGGAACATCGGTACCGACTCAGAGTTAAGTTGTGTTGATAATATCCATTCGTCAAAGTTAAAATGCTCTGTCAAACACTCAGAGAATTCAAAAAATAATAAACATACAAAATTAGATTTATCAAACGGTAGTACAAAGAAGTTTGTAGCAGAGAAAAGTAAGCCGATTAGCGATAATCAAAAACATTCCAGGAGTAGTTCAAATAAGTCAAAAAGTGCAAGCTCGTCAAAACGTGACGAAATGTCGTCGTCAGTATCATCGTCTCAAAAACGTCCATTAATGTCAAAACAATCATCATCCCTTCAGATGCCTTTATCAGCAACGAAAAATGTGTTGAACAACAATTCAACAAATAATAGTGAACGTGTGTACAATCTAAATTTAATGCTGTTTTGTTTTCTTATTTCCGGTATAACATTTGCAGGATTATGCGCAGATGTTGCTCCTTTGAACTTTGTATTCTTAATTTTTGCTGGACAGCTAATTTATATGTTACTGAAATACCTTTGTAATTACTCATAATTGTACACAAATTCATTATGTCAGGGTAAGTGTTTCCATTTGAAGGTCATTGTTTTTCGTATGCTACACAAAGATGTTTTTCAATGAAGAATGTAACTCATTCGTCACAACTCGGCCGATTCCGTTCCTTCATCTGGATAGAAGAAGAGTAGCGGATTCACACAAGGATTGCCGATTGGAATGTAACAGAGACAAAACAAATATAAAAATACCATTGAAAAGGATTTATAATCGTCATATACTAGTAAATAAATGGTATACGTGGTAATTATTAAAATGAGTTTCTATTGCTCATTTTTCATAGCGAGGTTCGATAGCTTTAGAACATCCGTCAATTACATTAAAAAAAAACTCATGAATTCTGTGTATTCGTAGAACGATTATCGAAAAGGTATTGCACTTTCAATTGTATTTTTAAACGCTGTGCATCAAAGTAAGTCAAAGGTCGATATGTTATTAAATTGTAAATATATTGTGGTTAAAACGTGTGTGTTGAAACACGTAATAATCGTGATTAAAATTTCTGTCGAAAGTCTAAAAAAATAAAGTGTTCACGTTTATTTGTGTATTGTTTCATGTAAAGATATTTTTATACATGTGACAGCATTATTTTCATAGCAAAACTATAATATATAGGTGTTTCATCAGGTTGAATGATAAAAATAAATTATGCAAATGCTTTTTCAATTATTTCATATTTATTGCCTCTTAAGAAGAGAGTGGAGTAGAATAACTCAATAAGCTTAATCTAGATTACATGTACGTATTAATAATGGAGATGTAGAGAAAGTATCAATGATACCACAACAAAGCGACAAAACTAGCCAAATTACTAAGAGATGTGTAAAGGGCAACATAACAGTCTTCAACAACAGAAATGTGTCCAAAAATATACCAAATTATAAATCGTCTGGAGTCCATTAAAATTATAAATAAATTGGATATTTACTTGAACAACGATACACAATCAACAACATAGTCAACACAAATCATGACATAAGACAGCTAGGATAACATTTCTGACTTGGAACAATCTTTTCCACCAAGTATAGTGGCCATATTGCTTATGGTCTTCTTCAAAATATACCAAATCACAAATAAGTTAACATTGTCCAATGAGCCATGAAAAAATGTCAAAGTCAGATGAAACATGACAGACTGACAGACATGTACACATTAAAATTATACCATAACCAAATACAGCTGACATATTGTTTACAGTAACTGAGAAACAGATCTCACCACAAAAAACTCAACACTGACCAACGAACCATGAAAATGATGTCAAGATTAGATGACAAACATGCATGAGGGTTTGGATAGGGGTCCTTCATTTCTGTATTCTTTAGTTTTTTTGGGTAATTTTTCTGTATTCTTTATATTTTTTGCCTATTATTTTCTTTTCTTTATTCCCCCCCCATTTATTCTGCACATTTTGCCCATTATTCTCTATTCTGTAAACCCCATCCAGTACCCTCATGCATGCCTTACAATAATTTCTTATGCCAAGTATAATTGACCTATTGCGAGATACTTTGTCTTAAGCAGACAAAATAAATTGACCAATGAACCATGAAAATGATGTCAAAGTCAGATGAAACCTGCCAGTCGGCCATGTACACCTTACCATTATTCCATACATCAAATGAAGTTGACCTATTGCTTATAGTATCTGAGAACCAGACAAAAACACAAAAACTAACAACGTCCCATGAAAATGAGGCCAATGTCAGAGGAATCATCCCAGTTGGACATGTACACCTTGCAATCATTCCATACATCACATTTAGTTGATCTCCTTTTTTATAGAGAAAAAGACCAAACAACGGAAACTAAGCATTGACTAATGAGCCATGAAAATGAAGTCAAGGTCATGCAGATGATACCTACTAGACAGACATGTACACCTTACAATCATTCCATATACCAAATATAGTTATTATGCTTATAAACTTAACATTGATCACTAATGCATGAACCCCATATACCAAATATAAATATACCATTACTCACCAAATAAAAATAAAGTGGATAATTTTCTCATTGGCAATACCACATCTAATGCGGAGTAACAATCGTCACGAAGTAAATCACTGTAAATTCAGATTAATTGATTGGTGTTTAACGCCACTTTCAGCACTTTTGTGCCGTTTCGTGGCGGTCAGTTATTACAATCCTAGTCAATTAAGATTGGAGTCAAGTACACCTGCCACGTTGGGATTCGAACTCACAACCTCAGTGATGACAAATTTCAATTGTGATTTTTTTGCAATCGCATTATTCAGATTTCACATTTTTGCCAAAGGTCAAGGAATAGCAATAATAAATGCACGCGTTAATTTCTGACCGTACAGCAGTCAACCGCTCGACATCAAAATCGAACAAGGACAATAAAACATGGGTACGTGATCCCACTCAGAAAAAGATACATTACTTTTAACTAAAGCTCCTATAAGGAGATATTTGAAAGTTCCAATCAAATTGCCATTTTTGTAGATCGTGTATTGACAATCATTTTCGCTGTTCATGGTTTTTGTCATATTCTATTATAGTTTTCATGAACGTATACAGTAAGGTAATTTTAGTATTGCTTGGGTTATTACTCCTACAAGAAGTCGTACGATGGTTTTTGTCATTTTTGCTTATCTATGACATTTTTCAAGATATTAGTAGTGTGTGTCCCTTCTATTACTGTTTCAAAGATATAAGGCAATGCAGTTCATTCTTTTCTAATTTTAGCCTTAGTGACTATGTTGGTTAATTGACAGGAACTGAAACAAGAGGCATATAAGTGTCTGTATCTCTCACCTGGTTTGAATAATCGTCAGTTTGCTTATTAGGACTTTTATATACACATAATATAGTTACTTGTTGTGTTGCTGATCCTGTTTTAACAGTTAAACCTAACTCATATTTTGCTTTACGAATACCAAGTGTGATCTAGCCATTTCACAAAAAACACCCGCTATCAAACGGAATTTGATTGGTTGATTGGTGTATGTACTATGTCCAGTGGCAAATATTTCATGCATGTCCAGGACCGCTCATAGAGTTGTTGCAAGGCTTCTTAACGTGCGGAGAGTGGCACTTTCTCTTCACGATGCATCAAATAAGACGTCCCAATTCTGACTGGACGTGGCTGCGTATCTAAACATCCCGTACAGCCAAAAGGACGCCCCACTTTGGCAAGAGAAGAGAATTTGAAGAACATTCTATCGTCGTAAATGAAAATATCCAGTCCGGAATATACTCTCCAAAACGGTCAAAACTGAAATGAATTCATTTACAATGAAAAGAAACTTATTTTATCCAAGCGTATTGGTTTCCATTTATATTCATATGATGAAGACATAATCTTTCAATCAGTTTAATTGAGGTCTGGAGCTGGCATGTCAGTAATTGCTAGTAGTCTGTTGGTATTTATGTATTATTGTCATTTTGTTTATTTTCTTTTGTTTCCTATTCTGACATCGGACTCGGACTTCTCTTAAACTGAGTTTTACTGTGCGTACTGTTGTACGTTTGTTTTTTCTACATTGGCTAGAGGTATAGGGGGAGGGTTGAGATCTCAAAAAACATGTTTAACCCCGCCGCATTTTTGCGCCTGTCCCAAGTCAGGAGCCTTTGGCCTTTGTTAGTCTTGTATAATTTTTAATTTTAGTTTCTTGTGTATAATTTGGAGTTTAGTATGACGTCCATTATCACTGAACTAGTATACATATTTGTTTAGGGGCCAGCTGAAGGACGCCTCCGGGTGCGGGAGTTTCTCGCTGCATTGAAGACCCATTGGTGGCCTTCGGCTGTTGTCTGCTCTATGGTCGGGTTGTTGTCTCTTTGACACATTCCCCATTTCCATTCTCAATTTTATTGAATTTGAATTTAAAGATAGAAAAACTTAAAATAAAGGAACAGAGTTCCAATGTCCCCCGCGTTGCACTTATTTTATCCATCCAAGGTACAAGGGCAATAACTAAAAAAATATTTTTTGTTCTTTAAAACTTTATATAAATATCTTAGAGAAATGAAGGCTTCAGAGAAAAATGCAATGCGATTTCCGTTATAATTAATATTTCCAAGGGGAATAACTCTTTAAAAATATTTGATCATCACTTATTTTCGAAAGTGTCAAAGACATTGCTGATATAAACCTATGATACAAGTTTCATAAAATTCTGGCAAGAATTATATACATGAGAGCGCTAACATTGCAATTTTCTATATAAGCAATATTTCAAAGGGCATAACTCTTTTGAAAATAATTGATCGGCACTGATTTACGAATTTGTCCGAGACATTAATGATATAAACCTATGATACAAGTTTCATAAAAAAAATCTTGCAAGAATTGTACACATGAGAGCGCTAACAATGCAATTTTCAACATAATCAATATTTCCAAGGGGCATAACTCTTTTGAAAATAATTGATCGGCACTGATTTACGAATTTGTCCGAGACATTAATGATATAAACCTATGATACAAGTTTCATAAAAAAAATCTTGCAAGAATTGTACACATGAGAGCGCTAACAATGCAATTTTCAACATAATCAATATTTCCAAGGGGCATAACTCTTTTGAAAATAATTGATCGGCACTGATTTTCGAACTCGTCCAAGACATTGCTGATATAAACCTATGATATAAGTTTCATAAAAATCTGGCAGGAATTGTACATATGAGAGCGCTAACAAGACCAGACGGACGGACGCCCGATATTTCTATGTCCCCTGCAACGCTTTGCGCGGGGGCACAAAAAAGACAGAAAAGTCAAAATATTCATAGTAATCAATAAAGTTGTACTGGATTTTATTTTGTATATTATATAAAAGAACATAAAAACTTTAATGTGTATAAAAAGTACGAGTTGGTAGAGGTAAGTACGAGTTGGTAAAGGTACGAGTTGATATCGACCCACAGCGACCTCGTGCGGAATATTGTGGAACTATTTCATTCTTGATTTGTAAAACTTCTTGATTTGTAACTAGTAATTTTTCTTGAGAAACGGAACTTCTCATTTTGCTGGCAGCGGTAACAATTACACTGACACATTCTCCCAAAACGTGACTCAAACAAAGAATTACATTTCACAAATTTAGAAATGTAGATTTTCATGTAAAGAACGAAGAAAATATGTTAACAAATTAAGAAATTGCATTTACACATTAAGAAGTTACATTCACAAATCAAGAAATGTAAAAATGCATGTAACGGATGGAAAAAATACATGTTACAATTTAAGAAATTACATTTTACAAATTAAAAAATTGCAAGTTACAAATTAAGAAATTGCATTTTACAAATTAAGCTGAAATGTATAATTATGGCGGATATTCCATTCCATATTTTCTTGATATCATTATAGTTCTTTCCTCTGTTTGGAACACGTGGAAATTGGAAAACCACGCCAAATTCGGCAATCCATTGGGTAATCAGTCACTGAGGTTAAAAAATCTACCAATCACTGTCGTATAGCAACAGGAACATACCTACTACAAACCAACATAGCAAAATTCAGTGATAATAAAGAAACTGCTATATGCCCATTATGTGGTCTGGAAGAAGAAGATATTATACACATGCTCACAAGCTGCATACTGTTACATGATGTCAGAAAAACACATCTGTTAAGATCGAAATATTTTATTATTGGATACATTGGACTATGACAATGGAATGAA